CAGCGGCCTCTTCAGGAACGCAACCAGAAGAGAGGCTGTGGACACTGCACCGGCCGCAGCTCTTTGAGCAAGAGACCTCTGCGCTAACAGCTGCGCCGTGACCAAATCCCACTCACCCCCACCACTAGTGCCCGTTTCCTCTGCGGGGCATCTCCTCTCCATCAGGATAGGCCCCCTGTGGCAAACAGCATCCTCGTGCTGGGCGCAGCCCCTGACTCGCTCAGAGACAGCTGCTCACAATCCTAAACTTTATTAGGAGCTAGTCTGTAAGATACAAACCAATCAAAACTTCAAAGAAAAGTTGTGTGAAAATGTTATATACAGATACATTACACAGAAGAGAGCAAGTCAGGTTCAACAGTCCCTCCCCCTGGCTCACAGGAACAAACGCCACAGCTACACAAAGAGCTCTGCCAGCACTCGGGCTGCATCTCCCATCGGCTCGCTCTGCACGTAGGCAAAGTTACTGCCAAACATCCAGTCAGACTCCAGTCAACTTTCAGCTCTCCATAGGCTTTCTAGCACCCAGCTGAGACAGAAGCTGATTTTGTCTAAGGCAGAGTTAGAACGCGCCGTGTGGCTCTGGCAGCCTCCTCTGCCCCGCCAGCATGCGCTCCCAGCAGGTTCAGGCTGAACGCACTGCTGGAACAGGAGATAGCACAGCCCTGCCCTCTTGCAAAAGGCGAACCAACCCTCCCTGCAGATAATGCAGCAAAGGCCACAGAGGGCTCCCTGAGAATCCAGCGGGACTAAAGGAGGACTTCAGCTTCCCAGGCAAACTCTGCAACTGGATCTAGCTGCAGCCAGGGGGTAGCCTAAGTGCCAGGGTACTGCAAAACCTCAAGGGCAGTGCCAATCTACTCAACTCATCCTTACCATCTGTGCCATAAAGCAGAGCTGGGCAGCACGTGAATGATGCTCCCCTTGAGATCACACACGTGAGGAGCAGGCCTGGTCACCTCTCAATCTTCACCTTCCTTCTCCATGGAAAGGAATGCAGAGCCACTGCGGAGGCAGTCAGGATTGGCACCCAGAATGTCAAGCAAGGCTTTCCTGGACAATATAACTACTCAGACTGATAGGAGCTGATCCCTGCTCCAGTCTCACAGGATCCCACTACAGTTCACCTCCTGGAGCAACAAAGACTGGGAAAGTGGCAGCGTTTGGTTTAAGTACAGCAGGAAGAGGGCTCAAAAAGAAGAGCGCGTTCATTTTAGGTTAATACAGGAAACCGATTTCTAGAAGAGTGTTTCAGAGAGAAGAAGCTGTCATAGCTTCTCACGTTGGAGTTGCAGCCCAGTCAGTCTTATGTTTTCTTCTTTAGCTCCTCAAACCTCCGAGACAGATCATCAAAGTCAATGTCTTCAGAGGCAGAAGAATTGGCGCCAGCAGATGCTGTTGGCAGCGTATCCGGCACGGATGGTAATTCAGGCAACACAAAGTTATCGTAGGTATCAGGAGCGACAGCTTTTGGTTTTGGAGAAGCTTCTGGCTTGGGCCCAGGCCCTAATGAGAATAAGGAAAATATTTCACTTCACCATTATTACACTCTCAGCACACAAAGAGCCACACAAGAAAAGAATATACTATCAAACAGGCAGTACCAATGCATTTTTCTAAACAGGGCCAATAATCACATACTTCCTACCGCACTCAGACTCAGTCAGGGAAAAATACAAGGTGTTAAGTTTATATGGCTGCAAGGAGCTGCAGTCATGGCCGATCTGGGCTGGTCACCCTGTCCTCTGGCTGCACCACATGGAAGCGGATCCATATCTGTTGCTATGATCTGTCACAGGTGGGCTGAAGCACCCACACACATACAACAGCTGGATTGCATCATGGGGATTCAAAGTCCCCATTTTCTCCATTCCAAAACCTCCAAAAGAGAGAGGCAGGTATCACATGCTCTTATCATCCAGCTATCAAACAGAAGCATACAGCCAACTCCAGTGCAGCTGTAGGCTTGTCTCCTTCAGCATTCCTCACCAGCAACGCCTTTCCAGAAGCCTCCGTTAAATTGTTAGAAATCCTTGCTGGAGCTGGCAAGAGCCTATCTACCCTTTCTGCCCTTATCAAGGGCTAGAAATAACAAGTGCTTCTGAAACAGACAGAGCAGAATCCCACTGTGCAAGACTGGAAAATTTTCCAATGGCCCAATTATGATGCATGAATCCTTTAGGCAGCTGGATCCAGGGATAACAGCTCTCTCTACTAGCCCTGCTATATGCAATCTCCACACTGACATTAATATTGACTTGTCTATCTTAGTGCTACTTTTATTCTGTAGTTGCAGAACAATATTACTTACCCTGTATATAAAAAAAAAAAACAAAACACTTAAATCTGCTACTCTCTCATCTTGTCCTGCAACTCCCTACATTCGGTCTGATGAGTCAGCTTAAGCTGGAGACTCAGTACCAACTCTGGAATCAAGCTCTAGTTTCCCAGTGGAAGTCCAGATCCTCCCTGTCTGAGAGGATACTCTCCGTTTCTGTTACGGCCCTCTCCAGACTCAGACAGATCCTGCTTTCACAATGTTCAACACATTACTCCCTGTATGGAAAGCTTCCTCCCAGGGACACTAGGATCCCAAGCTAACCTCAGCCCCAAGCCACCCTAGGTTTCCCATACCCCTTGACATACTTACCGGACACCTGTGCAGAAGAAACATCCTTGTCAGCACTAGGTTCATCAATCTGAAACAGACACTCAGTTACTACAGACCTCTCTCCAAGCAGGCACAAAATTGCACAGGCCTGTAGGTGATGCTCATGGACAACAGCACACTCACCACCACTCATGCAGAGCAGTAAAAATACTCCATCCCTCCCAGGAAAAGAGACAACCCTAGCTCCTAGTACACTCAAAAAAATCTGTCTCTCTTCCTAAGAAAAGGAGGCAGTATTTCCATTCTTCTCTCCTTCCTTGTCAATCAAAGCAGCTTTGCTGACCATATTCTAGAACTGTATTAAAAAAAAAAAAAACAAAACACAAAACTACACACATATCCACTAGCAGGGCAAAAATATTTATCAAGAAGATAAGTGAAAGAAGCCTGCGCCATTTACACACAAATGCAGAGAGTGCTTACTTCCTTTTATAAGCCATAGATAAGCCCTTGTGACTACGAGAAGGCAAGAGGGCAAGGGATGAAAGGACTCCACCTCAGGTCTTGATCCAGCTGGGACAAAGGCCCACAGTATGGTCAGGTGTGCTAGGAAAGCTCCTCCTTGTGGGTTGCAATCAGTGACATCTACCTCTACCCAGCTAACAACTCCTCCATCTATGCCTGCACCTCCTTGACTCAAAGGCTGCTGTGCAGCTCGTATGTGATGTCAGCACACACAGGTGCTGGGCTACTCATCCCTGCTCAGGATACTGCAAGGACAAGAAGCCTGTCATTGAAAGCAAAATGACAGGCATGATCATGAACTGCAGCAAAGACACAGGCAAGCATGGAAAGAGAAAGCTCCAGCCCTCCCCTTCCTTGTCCCCAAATGACTGAGAAGAGTTTGGGAAAGGATGAGCGTGTTTAAAACGCATTAGTTGCGCCAGCCAAAGTTTTCATCCAGGCTAACTACTGAATTAGCTCAAAAGCCATAATAAAACAGACCAAAAGTTATAAACACTTTACATTGCAAAAAGCAGAATTTGTGGACTATTTGTTACATGTTTATCATCATTTTAACAATGCAGTAAAACAAGTTTCGGCTTTCTTTGGTAGCCAAAGCATAGCTGATTGAGGAACTTCCCCCTCACAAGCCACACGCTCATCACACACACCCTGCGACTTACCACACCCAAAAACAATGCCAACCGCCACCCCAAAAGCTCCAAAGAGAAAAGTTGAGAGCAATGTGCTTAATGAACATTTGCCTTCCCTCTGGCTAACACTGCCCGCTTTTTGAGTTTCCTTCTGTTTCCTACAAGGATGAGTCACCTCAGGCACTTACAGACTCATACGTTGGTGGGTTTGCCGGAATTGGTGGTGGATGAATGTTAGCAGCAAAAGGCTGGTAGGTCCCCACTGGTAGGCCATTGAAGTTCTCCTGTACAGAAAGATAAATTAAACAGTCATGCACCAACTGTGCTCACCAGGCAACTCACCTGGCACAGCCACCACAGGACGCAATACTCCTGCAACTCCTAGCAGAGTCAGATAAGTTAGTAGTTTAAGACAAATGCAGACAAGTATCCAACCTAACATAGTTTATACCCACTAGGAAAAAATTCCCAAATATTATTCAGACGTAGTCACCTGGAACAGCCAGACCCAGCTAAGACGACTGCAGGTTATTCTGAAGAACCAGCATGACTAAACACTTCATATTTCAAAGTTTTAGAAGCACCAGGCCAGAAGGAAAATACCCTGCCTTAAGAATCCCTGAGCCACCATCACAAAACACAAAGGTGGTCTTCTCTGGCTCACTCAAGGCTATTACCCTTATCTGTAACACAACAGTGCCTCAAAGACCTAGAGGTGGAGAGAGTCTTCAGAATATTTATGCCTAGGCCTTCAGCCAGCTGATGACACCTGGCCTGGATTTTCTGTGAAAAACACCGCAGCATTGTGAGGACCATATCAAAACACCAAGCCCACTGTCTTGCCACTCTCCAGTCCACACAGACAACCTGTAAAGGGCCGAATTCAGTGAGAGGCCTGCAACAAGGTGCTCTTCCCAGCTCCCACCTTCTACCCTTGCAAGGAATCATCCCCAAGGGCCATTGGCCTGGTCCCCTCCCCTCACAGGTCTGAAGATTTTTGCATTCCTGTATTTTTTCCTTTGCTTTTCTCACCCCACAAAACTCACCAGATTTCCTGAACTGAATCTTGGCATACTATCAGACTACCAACTTCAAAGTGCTGCTCCAAGCCCTGGCCAAAAGCCTGACAGTCAGCAGAAGACTGCCTCACAAGTTAAGTCTGGACTCCTCTGTTCCCTGAGGGAAAAGGGGGGGGGGGGGGGGGAGAACAGGAGTAGGAACTTCCACAGTCTAGAAGCAACAGGAAGCTTCAGCTGCACTGCCAACATTTTCCACCCTGTACAGTCTCACGGCAACATGATGGCCTTCTGACACATCAAGCTATCAGGTACAGATGCTTCCCAAAAAGCAGACACAACGCTAAGCATTATAAGCAGGGTCTCCCACAGAAAAAGGTAACGCTCAAACCACAGGCACTTACCGGTCCCTTTGGGGGTGGATAGGAGAACGGCGGATTTGGTGATGGCATGGGCACAGGCATCGGCATTGGCATGGGCATTATTCCATCATGACCAACCAGTGGGGCTGTAAATCCACCACCTCCTCCCCCTCCGTGGCCACCTTTCTTCACATCATCTGTGAAGCCCACATCGATTAGATCTGCCTCTCCACCAGCGGGGGCTTCAGCCTGGGGAGAGGGGGAAGAATTCTGCTCACCAACACATCTCTATTCTGATCACAACCCACTGAAGAGCATCAGATGCAGCATTTGCCACTGGAAAAGATGGGACAAAGCAACAAGGACAAAACAAACAGCAAATGTAGAGTGATGCTCATGGGAATCAAAAAGGGGACCAGATTACAGCAAGGTTCACTACAGCCATACACCTTAGGGCTGTGGATAGGAGCAGGGATCCTGCTACATTAGGGCTGTCTAGAAGATACCAAAGCACAACTACCACAGAATTTGTTGCAATGCCGCAGCCCTCTACTCCGAGAGCCCACACAGTACTAATGAGACGTTTGAGTCACTGGAACACAGAAGGGAGCTCCAGACTCGCACATGCCTCACTCACCATCACCACCGAGTCAGGCTCGTAGGGTACATTATAGTTCTTGGCAATCTCAATGAGGTATCTCTCCACCAGGATCTTGGGTGGTGCCTCCACACTCAGCTTGTGCATCAGCTGGAAACACAAAGGTGCAGGGACACTCAGCAGGCCCAGGGCAGCGCAGCACAGCACAGCAGAGCTCTTTCCCAGCCAAGGGCATCTGCTGTGGGGAGCAGAGCGCAGCCGTGGGGAGGCCTTTCCTCCTAGCCAGTGCTGCCGTGGGGGGGGGGGGGACAAAAAAAACA